TTGTTATTCTGATATTCCTACTGAACACCTAGCTACTGGCCATGGCTTCTTTGAGGGAAAAAAATATCATTGCCGAAACATTTTTTAAAATGTTAAATGCATGCAGAAAGAACTACATAGGCTTTCCAAGCAGCTATATAAAGTGGCTCAAGTAACATTATTATTTATTTTGGCCTTAGCCCTTTACCAACATCTTTTAAAACACAAAGAGAATGGCTACAAGATGGCCGCAGAGCCCTGAATGCATGGCCAGGCCGGCGGTGCTCCAAGCAGTTCACAGAACAGCAACCAGGAAGGAGTCCACTGTGCTGCCTTCCCTCTTTCTGTGCATTTTCTCTAAATGCATTGCATCCTCTCTTTACTGCCCATGCTTTTAAACTATATAAAACAATTCTTTTTTTCTTTTTAAATCTAGCAATGATTAATTCAGACCTCAAATAACACTGTGCGTGGGCTTTGTTAGAGACAAGTAACCATTCTCAACAGCTCTTTTCCCAGTGGAGGCTGGGGTGGGCCAAAGGGCATCCGTGGCTTAGGAACTACTCTTGTTGCAGACCGTGCTTTGGCTGAAACTATCTTCCATGCACTGGCTGCCCGTTTCACTCCTGCTGAGGACTGTGGAGAGGATGCGGGAGGGGCGCCTCTCTGAGTTCTCCTGGAAGAAGCAGCAGATCATCTTCTTCATGGTGTTGTACATGTCCTCATCCTTGTAAGAGTAGATGACAGGGTTCATGAGGGAGTTGAGCAGCGCCAGAAGCAGGAACCACCTTTTCACGTGCTGCAGGCTACACTGCGTGCAATTCAGGCCGTCGAGCAGCAAAACCACCAGGCCCGGGGTCCAGCACACGACGAAAGCCCCTGGAGAGACAGAAAAGCAAGCAACAGGTACTCAGACCTCAGGCTGCTCATTTAGGTTTCTTCTGGCCCAGCCTTCAGTCAGTGGCATCAAGAGACCTTCAGAATTTGTTTTGACAACTGCCAAGCCAACTTCCACCTTTCATCTGAGCGTTTGAGACCTGGGCATGTTAGAGGCAAACGGCTAAGAACTCTTTGACTATTAGCCACATTCTATTTCACCTTCTTATCAGGCCTCATAATTAGGGGCTTACATTGACCTCCTGCTTACTAAGCAGTACACATACCTCATCTCTGTTAGTTCTCGGAACCACACTAGGAGGCTGCTGCGGTCATTGTCCACATTTTGCAGATGAGACAACTGAGGCCCAAATCCAGAGGCATATATGGGGAGGCCTCACACACTTAACCATACACCTTGCTGATCTCTAATCAGATTTTCTAAATGCCTTCCTGAAAATAAGACACATTTCACCTATGGCATTCTCCTAGTCTTTTAACTAAGTAGCCTGCTCAAAAATTTTATTCTTTCTAANTTTTGCGTGTTTTTAATTCCTTTTAGTACACAGTGAGAGGTGTCGTTGTGTAGAATAATGCTTTGATTATTTTTACTCCAGGTACTAACAGGGCTTGGGTTTGTTGCTAAGTCACCTTCATGGGTGTCTTCAGGGCTTACTTTCATCATGCTTAATCAATTAAAAAAGAGGGCCAAGCATTCTTATTGCCCCCTCCCTGAATGATTAGAGGGTTAATGAGCTAAAAAGCACAAAATACTTTTAATCTCAGGAGGAAATTAGCCTACAAACACGGGGAGGCCATGCCCTGTAGTCTATGTGGTGGAGGAATCAGCAGATAAAGAGAGCTGTACCCCTCTGCACCCCCATCCCCACCCTCCTAGCCCCCCTCCCCCTACGACCTGAGGCTGATGCAGCTGACTTTACCCCCTTGGTCCTGGACCATCCAACAATGGGCTATGCCCATGCTCAGGATGCCAGTGAAGCAGGGACATTGAAATTTCTAAATTTTGATTTTTAGCATTTATAAAAAGTATCCAAGGGTTGATTGTGAGGAAAATTAGAGTTTTGATGGAGGTTTACATTTATTCTATACTTTAGTATTGTTCTAATTTGGAATTATGCAAATGAGGGCAGCTGGTGTCATAACGATTTTGGTGCTTGTGCTTCTAAAGATCCTATTGTGGTCCCAGACCGACCACCCACTCTTAAAAGAATTTCACCAAGAAATTTCAACAGTTTATTTCCAACAACATCTTTCTTTCCAAGCAGGCAGTTTTCATGAAGGACTAAGTTCTCCCACCAACACAGACTTATCAGAATACCTTGGACGGTGCCAAAAAGTAAAAAAAAATTAAATCCTTTTTGGCTAGGGAGGAGCCCACATTTTGAGTCAAGGACTAATCCAAAAAGGTCCAGACCAAATTTTTAGAACCATCATCTCAATGACTTGTAGATAAGCCTGGGGTCCTAGAATTTGAGAAGAAACCTTCTTTCTTCATTTTTTTTTCCAACAAAGAGAG